CACACACACAAAGATATTAATGTCTTTGAAAGCAAATTTTATTCTCTTGCAAAAATTTATATTTTAATTTTAATGATGCTATCAATTTTATGGTAGTAAGTTTTAATCTTCTGTCCCAAAGAGGATCCATCTGGCTGACTTGCAAAGGGGAAACTGCATGCCTGCTGCTGCCATATAAACCCTTCAAGTTTTCAGAAAAAGGGTGTCTATATTTCTCAATCACGAATTGTTAAGATAGGCTTGCTATGTAGCCCAAGCTCGTTTTGAACTCATGATCATCCTACTCCCACCCCCAAGTAGTGGAAACTATAGGTGCTTATCACCAACCTTTAAGTCCTAACCCTGAAATGGCAGTACAGAGTAAGACACCTTAAACAAAAGGCTAGTGAGATGGCTCAGAGGTGAGAGCACTTGTTCTGCAATCACGAGGACTACAGTCCAGATTCCACCACACAGGTAAAAAGCTGGGCATCCCCACTGACGCCTGTAATACCTGCTCCAAGCAGGCAGAGGCAGGAGAAGTGCTGAGGCTTGTTGGCTTCCATCCTCGCCATAGGAAAACATTGAGTCCCAAGTGCAGAAAGAGACCCTGCCTCAAAGGAACAGGGCTCAATTCTTCCTCATAGGCATAAATTAGATTGCTACAGCCAGACACATCCATAAAATAGTCTTAAAATAAAAATTCATAACTTTAGGGGCTGGAGAGATGGTTCAGCGGTTAAGAGCACTGACTGTTCTTGCAGAAGATCTGGGTTTGAATCCCAGCACCCATATGGCAGCTAACAACTGTCTGAAATTCCTGTACCAGGGGATCCAATGGCCTCTTCTGTCCTCCGCGGGCATTGCACAACACGGGTGCACTTACCTACATGCAGGCAATACACGCATACACATAAAATAAAAATAATTTTTTTAAAAAAAATTAGTAACTTTATCTAAAACTGAAAGAAATTTAGTCCTCAGTATCTTTACATTTCAAAAAATAAAAATTTACATACAGTAACATTTTTGTCATTCACTTTGTCTTGTTTCACCCCAAAATGCAGAGCTATACTTTTGAAGGGAAGTACAGTGCTGCCTTTGTAAGTTGTAAAGCCCTGCCTAATTCCTTCACACAACACCTCAAAGTTTCTGACAGTTTCCCCACATTTAACGAACAGAAACTGAAAATGTTAGTTTAACATAAAATTCAAGTAAGACTCTAATAGTATAAATCCCTAATTTATTCTAATTTAATTTCTAAGTAATTGAACATTTCAAATGAGTAAGTTTCTCAGAGTACATTCAATATTGAAAAAATATGTGTATGATTTCTGTAAGGTTATACTGCAAAGAATCGACTTCTGCATTAGTACAAAACCATCTTACACGGTCCTTGAAAAACAATATCCTGCTTTTAACAAAGATCAAAAATTACTCCTAAGGAAAGCCAGGTGTGGTGGTGCACGTCTGTAGTCCTGGCACTTGGGAAGCAGAGGCAGGTGGATCTCTGTGAGTTCAAGGCCAGCCTGGTCTACATAGTGAGTTCCAGGACAGCTGGGGCTACAGGGAGACCCTGCTTCAAAACGACCCATCTAAGTAATTGAACATTTCAAATGAGTAAGTTTCTCAGAGTACATTCAATATTGAAAAAATATGTGTATGATTTCTGTAAGGTTATACTGCAAAGAATCGACTTCTGCATTAGTACAAAACCATCTTACACGGTCCTTGAAAAACAATATCCTGCTTTTAACAAAGATCAAAAATTACTCCTAAGGAAAGCCAGGTGTGGTGGTGCACGTCTGTAGTCCTGGCACTTGGGAAGCAGAGGCAGGTGGAGCTCTGTGAGTTCAAGGCCAGCCTGGTCTACATAGTGAGTTCCAGGACAGCTGGGGCTACAGGGAGACCCTGCTTCAAAACGACCCAAAAAAAAAAATTACTCCCAAGTTAGTTATAAGAATTGGAGAAATCATTTGAAAATAAGCACCTGTGATGTTCTAAACATGTTAAAAATGTTTGCTCACTCAGTCCTAATAAATATTGGCACTTTTACCAAATTTATAGAACAAGAAACTGAAACACAGAGTGGTTAATTAACTTTCACAGCCACACAGCTGGTAGCTAAGACCTCCTCAAGTCCCTGTCCAAAGCCCTTTTTTCTTTTTCAGTTTTCTTGTAGCCCAGAATGGCCCTGAATATACTATGTAGGCAAGACTGGCTTTGAATCTTGAATTCCTGCTTCTATTTCCAGAAACTCCTCTTAGCCAATGAGCTGTAGCCCCTAAATCTAAGAACCATCATTTAGTAGGGGCCCATGCTCACACCAAAACACAAAAATATAAAATTTTTATTTTGTTGACAAATTAGATATGTAAATATTTTATGCTTCAGCTCTTTAAAATTTTTTATTTATTTACTTATTTATTTATCTGTCTGTATAGACACAGGCCACCACGTGTAGTGGTGCCCTTCAAAGCCAGAAGGCAGCACTAGATTCCCCTGGAAGTTACAGGCAGTTGAGAGCGGTCTACAAACTCTGATCCTCTGGAAGGGCAGTAAGAGCTTTTCACAGCTGAGGCATCTCTTCGGCCTAGTCTGCATCCTGAATCATAAAAATAAAGTAGGCTAGCCCACTGTATGGCTAATGCTTGTAATCCCAGCACCCAAGAAGGCAAGGCAAGAGAATCGCTGTGAGTTGAAGGACAGCCCCAGCTACAGAGTGAGAAAATGAAATCCTGTCTGCCCCTCCACCCCTCAAAAAGGAAGACTATGGAAATGTTTCACACACACTTCACAATAATTAATGAAATAGAACAGAAGTCACTAAAAAAGGGCCTTTGCCTGGGGCTGGAGAAATGGTTCAGTGGCTAAGAGCACAGGCTGCTCTCTCATAGAGAACCCAGGTTTAGTTCCCAGCACCCACATGACAGCTAGCAACCATTCTTAACTCCAATTTCAGGAGATCTGACACATCTTCTAGGCTCTGTGGGCATTGCATGCACGAGTACAGCCACACGCAGGCAAAACACTCATGTACATTAAAAAAAAAATTTTTAAGCATTTTTAAAGGCCTCTGGTCATTCAAAATTGGTATTTGATTGGTCAATCCAAGTATTAGTATTTGTTTACTTTTCTTCTTGTGACTTTTTTTAATTATGTGTGTGTGTGTGTGTGTATGGATATGTACATGTGAACACTGGTACCCAAGGAAGCCAAAGGCACAGGATCCCCCAGGAACTGGGGATACAGGCAGTTGTTAAGCTGCCAGATGTGGTTTCAGAGAACTGAACTGGGGTCCTTAACTACCCTTAACTGCTGAGCCATTTACTTTTCTTAAAAGGCCTCTAAAGTATGGGCCTACTGATTTTCCCCCCTATGTAAATTCACAAATTTTAAAACGATTTCCACAGTTCAAAAGGTGGGCAGAGGTGAAAGACAAATCATTTCAAGCCCATCCAAGAGAAAAAGAAGCACTTAAGGTACTCAGGCATCTTGACACATGCCTTTTATCCCAGCCCTCAAGAGGCAGAGAGGAAGGTGGATCTCTAAAATCCAGGCCAGCCTGGTCTACATAGAGTGTCCCGGGCTAGCTGGGGCTACAGGGACACCCAGTCTCAAAAACAAACATCAAAAAAGTATTTAAACTAACTACTGCAAATTGCAAAGAAAAAAAAAATTTTTTTAGCACTTAGACCTACAGTCCTATGACAAGATCCAAGATGGTTTAAGGTATCACAGCAATTCAAAGTCACAAAATGATGACGCTAGACCATCAAGAGAACTTTAATTATATTCTGCATCGACTTAAGGTAGACATGAATTGTAAACTTAATTTTAGCTTTTCATCCACATCAGTTAAGCTAGCTTTTGATGCTCAGAATAAGCCTGCAATTACCCTGTAAGCTCAACTAATCAATTGGAAAGGAATTCATTTGAAAGCCCCCTAACAGCAAATATTTCACTGAGTTGAACAGCACTCACACAAGGCAGGAGGGAAGTAAAGGGAACATAAAATTAGAAACTCTAAGAAAACAAAATAGCTAGTGTCTGTAAACAGCAGCTAAAATCATCCCCCACAAAACAGTGTGGGCACCGGGTGCCACATCACCACGCCTCTTGTTTTTGTCGCGCTTCTATATCATTTGTTAAGTTCATGAATTATTAATTCCAGTAATGGTCTGTTGATAGGAAGCAGTACCAACTCTCAACTGGAATAGTGATAATACCCTCCTGATTTACTCCACAAAAACCGAAATCGTTTTCACTTTTACTGAACATATTCTTGCCTTATGGTAGCAGAAATCTGATTGGGAGGAGGGGGGACTACTGCCTTTTAAATTGCTCTTAAACTTTTTAAACGACTGAGGGATTCAGTGCCTTGTCCACACTTTAACTTTGTTATCAAAAGAACTGTTACAGCCCTTAACAAAACTCCTTTTCAAACCAAGCTGCAACACACCCAAGCGTTTAGGAACTGCAAACAAAAACCCGAAAACCACACAGAAAACAACGTTCTGGCCTTGTACTTTTTCTCTGCTCCAGCAAGGAAGTCTAACTCCTAACAGGAAACTGCTTCTCGACCGGTTCAATTGAACCCTCCAAACCCAAATCCCAACCCGGTCCCTGGGAGAAGCCCGAATGTGTTAAGTGCCAACGCACTTGCCTAGGCAAGAACCGAGTGAAGGGAATACGATTGCACCCAAAACAAGGAAAAAGGAGAAGGTGAAGGTAGATTCTAATCAGTTTCGAGTCCATCAATAGCAAACCGGGGAAAGCATGCAGCTCTGCGCCGGAGGCAATCATTCCGCGCAAAGTTGAACAGGATGTTATCTTTGGGGGGTAAAATGTGCACACGACGGGGGTCAATGCACAACGCCTCGGCGGGGATGCGCTCCAAGTGCCACTTTGTCAAGTTTGAGCCAGGCCCCCCCGGAGGACGACCACCTGTCCCCGCCGTCCCGCACCTTCCCGCCGGGGAACCCCGAGTCGGGTCCCCGCAGCCGGCCGGCGCTGCTTACCCATGCTGCGGGCTGCGGCGGCGACAGCCCGGCGGCCGCTCCGCTGCTCCGGGGCTCAGGCGGCGCCGCTGCTCGTCGTGCGCTCAGGCGCGGCGGGGAGGCGCCTCCTCCATCCGCCCGCCGGGCCCCCGCCAACCTCCCGGCTCCTCCCGCCCCGGCCTCCGCCGCGGCAATCGGGAGGGCGAGCGAGGGAACTCTGCGCGAGCGCAGTAGCAGCTTCCGCTCCGCGCCGGGCCGCACCACGGGACCCGCCGCTCCGCTCACGCACAACCTGCCCCTCGCCCACTGCCTCAGCTGCCGCCCGCGCTACGCCCCAGACCGCCGTGGACACCGAGGGAAAGCGTGAGGAGAGCTGGGAGCCCGCGACTCGCCGGAAATCTCGCGAGAACGTGCTCGGTCTCCCGACCACGCCCCCTCCGCGCCCCCCACGCGGGCGCTGCCCTGACTGCCCCGCCGGTGCCAGGTGCTGAGACGTCACGGCGGGGGCGGCTCCAGGTGCGGCGGGCTGAGGCGCTGGCGGTCCCCACGGGCTGCGGCACTTCCTCTCCTGCAGCTGGCTTGGTGTCCGCGGCGTCGCCCTCGAAGGATGCGCAACGGGTTTTTGCCCATTTTGCAAAGTGAGCCACCGTGTTGGCCCACTTTTCTTTCCTGCAAAGCAGCAGGCTGTCGGGGACTGAAAAGGAAAAGCGAGATAAGAGCGAGCGCCTTGATTTCCAAGTTCAAGGGCGTGGGGCCCCTGCAGTTTACCCTGGAAAGGAGCTCTCGGATCAAAGGCATGTGCCCCTCTTTGCGGAGGAAAAACCAATGCATGAAATAAATGGTTGCACGGAAATTCGTTACTGGATTCCTGCAGTCTCTTGTTAGCCTGTTAGCCGAAGTCGACTTTCCACCCTTTTGACATATAAATTGTTCCAAGTTACCTCGTAATTCGAAATAATCTTTTTTCCTAGCATCAATAAGAAGGCGGGCATAGGATTATATAATCAGGCATGTCTTTTTTGAATTATAAACAAATTAAATTCAAATTGATTTTTTTTCCTCCCCTCCTGTTTGGGTAAACCCAACTGCTGGACAAATGCGTGTCGAAGCAACGTTTGTTGACTGCCAACTCTTGTGCCTAGTGCTTTTTCAAGTAGTTATGTCATTTAATTCTCAAAGTCACCCAACACTTAAACTGTCTTGCCCTTTGGAACTAGGCTGACTTGGACTGTTAAACTCAGCCCAGTCGTTTGCATTTTGTAGGTCCTTGACTGAATTAATCTGACTGGACTGTCAGCTCTTAAATATGTTGAAAGAAATCTTTATCTGGCTCAGTCTAGAAATCTTATAAACATCCATTCCCACTCCTATAGGCCTACTTTGGGCATCGTTAAATTCTTGTATTGCTTCTGAAAAGGTTGACACAGTAATTTTAAAACAATAATGTATAAGACACAATGTAATAAAACATTTACAATCGGCTCTGTCCAAAAAAGGGAAAGGAAAAATTTTAATACACACAAGCAAACAAGATGCCGGCTGTGTCGTATTGAACTCACAATGCCTGCCTATTTTCAAGTCAACAAATATTTGAACATTATGTTCATTGCCCCCTACCAAGCAAACAGCAACAGAAAATGCACAGCCTTGATCCTCGGTGGCTTTTGCATTCTAACAAGAAGGTGAGCCGTTGAACACAGAAAGTTAATAAACAATACGAGATAGACAAAGGTAACTGCTTAGGAGCTTAAAGGAAAATGACAAATGGGCAAGTCCAGAAGGTATTGCACTGAAGGAAACAGGAAAACATCATGGAGTCCTGGAAATAACGTGGATATGCAAACAGTATTATTCCTAAGCCTTTAAAAAAATGTGTGTGGGAATAACTGCACATTAGGGAAAATCAGTTTAAGTTAGAGTCATTCTACTGAGTCTTATAGATGAATCTTTTCTGATCTAGACAAGTTATAATGTGTGTATTTAATGGTTAAAGAACCATTAAAGTTATTTTATTCATTAACTATCTCAGGAAAATAGGGATATTTTAATGTAATTTGAGAGGGTTTTTGTCAATTCAATCCATTAAAGAATTTTTTTTTTAAAATTTGGTTCAGAGTAAAGAAAAATCAGAATTGAGTTATAATGTAAAATAAAAATTTATTAAGGGCCAGGTGTGATGGCACATGCCTTTAATCCCAGCACTTGGGAGGCAGAGGCAGGCGGATCTCTGTGAGTTCAAGGCCAGCCTGGTCTACATAGTGAGTTCCAGGACAGCTGGGGGCTACAGGGAGACCCTGTCTCAAAAAGACCAAAAAAAAAAATTTATTATTAAAAAAATTTGTGTGGGGCCAGTGAGATGGCTCAGCCAGTAAAGGTGTTTGCTGTTCAAGTCTGACAATCTCTGACCGCCACATGCCCTCCTCCCCAATTTTAATTTACTGTTGTTTTTTAATATATCTTTTATTTATTATTTTTATTTTATGTGTATGTATTGCCTGCATGTGTATAAGTGCACCCATGTGGTGCAATGGCTGTGGAGGTCAGAAGAGGGCGTGGGATCCCCTGGAACTGGAGTTACAGACAATTATTAGCCGCCATGTGGGTGCTGGGATTTGAACCCAGGTCTTCTGCAAGAACATTCAGTGTTCCTAACCACTGAGCCATTATTTTTATTATTTTTAGATTATGTGCATGGGGGCAGTGGGTATGTGTGGGTATGTTCACATGATGCAGGTGCCCAAAGGAGGCCAGAAGAGGGTGTTGGTTCCCCTGGCATTATGAGTGGTTCTGAGCTGCCCAGTGTGGGTGCTGGAAACCAAACTCAAGTCCTCTGCAAGAGTGGCAAGTGCTTTTAAACTCTGAGGCATCTCTCCAGCCCTTAATTTACTGTTATTTAAAATGCCTTACTACAATAAAGTATAACGAAAAAAAAAATCTATATGACTCAAACACCCTGTAGGAAAGTAGGCTACATCTACACATCTGTAGTCCGAGCTGTTAAGGAGGCTGGGGCAAGAGGATCATTTGAGCCTTCAATGCCAGGCTAGCCTGGGCAACACAGCAAGACCCTGTCTTTAAAAGAAAAAAGAAAAAAAAAAGGCAAACTAAGATTTAGAAAAATGAGTAGTAGTCAGTAGACTACAAAGTGAGACTTTTGTCTCAGAGAAAGAAAGAGGGTTAGAGAAAAATAAAACTAAAGTAAAACTAAAAAGGAATCGCACTCCTGCTGTTAGTGCTGTCTTCCAAAGACAAAACCATGAACTCCAGAAATTTAGGTATTGTTTTATGTGCACATATGCACCATGTCTGTGCTAGTGCGCAGCCAAAGAGGGTGTCAGATCCCCTGGAACTAGAGTTACAGAGGGTTGTGAAACCGCTGGATACGGGTACTGGGAACTGAACCCCAGTCCTCTGCAAGAGCAGCAAGCCCTCTTAACTGCTGAGCCATCTCTCCAGCCCTCGGAAATTTGTTGAAGTTACAAACTCATGTGTAAAAGCACTTCCTAGAGCCAGCAAGATGGTTCGGGTGGTAAAGGCACCTGCTACCAAACCTGCAGACGGACCTGAGTTTTGACCTTGGGACCCACATAGTGGAAGGAGGAAACCACCTCTCACAAGTTGTTCTCTGACCACCACATGCACACAGTAGCACAGGTAACAGACGGCCAGACAGACAGGCATAGATTTTTTTTTTTTTAAGTACGTTCAAGGGTGTGGAGGCATCACTGTGAGATGGAGGCCAGTTTGGTCTACATAGTGAGTTCAAGGCCAGCTGGGGCTAGAGGAGACTACCTCAAAAAAAAAAAAAGTACTTTCTAAACTTCTGAGTGCTCTGCAGATATTAGTTCATCTGTCCACAATTTCTTTTATTCCAGCACAAATGGCTTAATCTCACTCTGACTTTTTACTCTTTTTTTTTCTTTTCTGATAAATTTTAGGAATTAATTAGAAGATGTCTACATTGAAAAATCACTACTACTTCCTTTCCTAGTGGTAAAAAAAAAAAATCTTTTACCAGCAAGATTAAAGTGAAGAAATAAAATTAAATATTAACTAAATCAAGTTGTTTTTAAAGAATGTATTGAGCTCAAAAGTTACAAACAACTAATTCATTTTTTGTGTGTGTCTTTGTTCTTAATTTCAAAGCACTAGGTTTCCTGAGCTGTGTTTTAATTGTTATGTTGTTTGGCTTGGCTTTGTGATACAGTTTAACTTCTATGACCCTAATCTTATGAGAAAAAAAAAAATCATTCTTTAGAAAACAATTGTAAGAAATTACAATCTTGGTCAAAAAGCCTATACTGTGAGATCATTAAAACTGAGTGTCCAGGCTTTTCCCCCACCCTCTACTTAAACTAGTGACCCATCCTTTAGCCCGTGACAGTGGCCTGTACTCTGCCAGCAGTTAGGGGGTATGTTCAGACATGTGACCACTCTAAGCATTTTCATTATTTCACTTCTTTAAAAAGTTTTAAACTAGGGTTGATGGTGAGGCCCTGTAGTAGAGTACTTATCTAGAAAGCACAAAGCCCTGCGTTCAATCCCCAGCATTGAAAAAAAAAAAAAAGGCTTAATTATTTAAAAAATAATGATACGATGGCCCCATTCAAGTGAATCACCACTCTGCCTACTTCAGGGATCTTTTTGATAATGATGTTTGCACTTTAATGGATGCTGGTCATAGGCAAGTCATAAGTGCCTCAAAGGCCGTCCTACCACAGGAGTCTCTTCCAAGAAGCATTCCTGTCCCAAAATGTTAAAGCTGGCAGTTTGTTTCTTTGTGAGTGGCAGGATGTCTCACTTTGTAGCCCAAGCTGGTCTCCATATTTTGGTGATCTTGCCTCAGCCTACCAAGTACTGAGATTTCAGATTTGTGCCACCATTCCATGCCTAAAACTGGCCCCTATTGATTGTCAGATACTTTAAGCAATCCTAAACAACAAATATTTTTGTACTTGTTTTCAAATATCAGTTAAATTACACATATTACATAAGGAATTTCCAATGATGAATATGTATTAATTAAAATCAGTACTTACACTTATATTGAGTAAGCAGTTATTACATCATAAATATAGACATGAAAAATCCAGTCCCTGCCATTAAAAGAGGAAGTGTTTTGGGATCCTGTTAGAGGAAAATCAGAGTTGCCCAAGAACGTTAAAGAAAAGTATTCAGGGGGCTGGAGAGATGGCTCAGCAGTTAAGAACACTGACTGTTGTTGCAGAAGACCTGGATTTGAATCCCAGCACCCAAATGGCAGCTAATAACTGTCTGTAACTCCAGTTCCAGGGAATCTGACTCTGCGGGCATTGCACAACACAGGTACACTTGCCTACATGCAGGCATAACACTCATAAAAT